GTTAACATATAATTACATTGAAGTGGTACATTCATGTACTTTTTTGATTATTCAAAATTTGTTGTTTCTAAAGCGATTGTTTTGTCTTTGCTGTACTTCCTGTCTAGAAAGGCAGCAGTGCACACATCTTATCAGCTGTGTGTAAACTAGAAACAGATATCTTATCAGTTGTTTGTAAATAGCAAATAAAGAAAGTGGCCCAACTTAAAACTATTTACCCTCAGTTCAGTTATGTTTGTAAACCATGCATATTAATGAGATGCACTAGTTGGGTGTACACTGGATAAACAAAAACTTGGCCATTTGTTTGCACACTAGAAAAAAAACAGTTTACTTGTACAAGATATTTTTTTTTCAATAAAATAAATACACCCATGTATGTAGCATGCCTTAGGGAGCTATTCGTGTGATTTTCAAAAAAAAAATGTGAAAAGTGCCCAAAAAACTATTCTGCTACCTTAAACTTCAAACTTGTGGTTTTAAGAAGTGTCAACTTTATACAGTCATTGATATACATTTTGTGCCTTGTAAAAATTCTCCGATTCATGCTATGACACTGAAACTTTTCTGTGCTTACAAAGGTCATTGATATGATATATGGTTTTGACATTTAATCTTCAGCTGGGTGACTGGGTAATTTTCAGTGCACTGGCTATCATTAACAGTGGGATTGAACTGCGTACAGTGCTCTTGCATTCTTCAATGTTATGTAGCCTTGGTCAAAATACCTTTCATTATGTTTCATTTGACTACCGCTTGAATGACACATTCACATTATTTGTTTCACTTTTAAATTTGCAGGTCACACCCAAGACACCAACTCTGAATCCAAATGCTAAGGTGTTCCCGGGCCCTAAGACGACAACGACACTCTCAACAACACAGATACCAGATAATGATGATACAACGTGGCAGCAGCAAGATCAAAGTGGTAGAAATTCAGCTTCACCCTCGGCACAGGTAACGATACAGGGTGAGTAACATTAAATTATTCATATCAAGTCTCTAAATCATTTAAACTCAACAGCTAAGTATGACAGGGGCTTGTTGTCATTGCTCATGTTCCCACATCATGTATTGTGGCTCTTCCAGTACTAATGTGGGTTTATTCTCGCAAACTGTAAATGTGCACACTTGCATCAAACTGTAATTTATGATGGTCACAGACTGTTGTCGTCATGTCAAGTTCTTGTTAAAACATCTTTACCACAAATATCAGACTGCTAATGACTATGAATTTAAGCTTTGAGGTGTCATGGTTTCAACTAACTCTTCATTAATTCCATAGAATGTTATCAGTTGACTCTTGCGTCAGTATTTCAAATTTCAAGAATTAATAAAAAGATTACTCTTTAGTGGAAACATGGACAACTTTTATAATAATTTATAATCATTATCACATTAATTTGGAAAGCATCCCTGTTATAATAAAGTACTGTATTTGCTCTATTTAAAAGCACATAAAATTGCGTATTAACCAAAAAATACTTATACTGTATGGTATAAATCAAAGTATCTTTTAACCTTACACAGCTGTGTCATTTATATAAGCATGTATTTTTCTAGTAAAGCAAACACGCTATACTTTTATGGGTCATTGTATATCATACGATAACGCAAACAGGTTGCTTGGCTGTAATTGTGACGGAGCATTTGCATTGAAATAGGCTCTGAAATAGTATCTGAGCTGCTGTACCTGACCTGCTGACAAAGGTTGGTGTCTTAGGTACTGGTAGGTCATAGTACTGTTGATACATAATTAGTTTACCAAACTAACAACCTGTTAGTCTTGAAGCACCAGAATCAAATTTTGTCACTTTTCACTACTAATAGAGCAAATACAGTACAGATATAGACACTATGCGTAGTACAGTACCAGCAAATCACAATTCTGATATGTTACATTTGACTGATTTATTAAATTCAAGAAATCTGTATGAATTAATATTTGTCAAAAAGATGAAATTATTTTCCAAAAATGAAATTACACCCACACTGACAAACCAGACTGTGCAATCACAAACTCTCGTACGTCCAATTAAGTCAAGATGCACAATAATTCATAACTTGCGACATTGATTTCTAAAAGTATAGAAAATCACAACTGACTTGACAGCACAGTTTAGATAGCCTGTCATTTTGCTGTTCATCCCACTTTGTGACTTAGACGTGCAGACAAGGTAATTTTTCTATCACCAATACCAACATTTGCTAGGACAATCACACTATCGGTCTCATTGCTCCAATTGACTTGGATATAACGATGATAAATGATTGCTGGCATGATCCTTGCATGGTATGTCGTATAAATCAATTTACCTTGCCCATAAAGTACCGTCAGTCCAATATATCACATTGGTAATTCTGTTCCATTGCGCATAATGATTTTATTATGGAGTGTGTTGATGGGTATGCCCTGCTGTGACATGTACATGTGTATGATTGTGAACATTTACAGAAATTTATTGCCTTTTGATTGTGGTTTCAAGTTTCTTTAATTCACTTTACTGGTTACTTTACTATTACTGGTTTTATGCTAATGGATGTAGTTGTGAGGTTTTAAAAATCAAAAGTCACAACAATGGTTTTTAGTGGTTATAGTGTGTGCACGGTTTATGGTTCATTGTTCTTGTCCTATTGTTTAGTAGCATTTATGAGTAGTATTATATTGCTTGTGTCAGCTGGGTCAGCATTGTTATTCTAATCGGAACGTAGTGACGTGTGGTATTCATATGCTATAGCGTTGGCAGTAATAATTTGGGTGTGACCTGTTGTGTTGAAGTCATTGTTTTGGCTAGCTCAAGTAAAAAAAAAATGTCTCCATAGCAATAACTGGAATTCCTGAATTGTTGAATTTATTTCTGTTACTGATGTCTTATGGAATTGGATGTAATCAAATACCTTAATTGACTCGTAGAGGTTTTCAACATGTTCATGGCTTGTCTGAAGTCGACTCAAATCGTCGTAGTCTATTTTGGGGTTTGGATATGAAACGTAGAATATGAGCAATGGCTAACTTCATATGTATATCATTACAGGTCCCTACCAACTCAATGGTGATGTTTGCAAATATACTCCAACAGGGACGGTCTTCCCAACTAGCTCAGAATCACCATTACCAATTACACATTTGACTCTTTCTAATGGTTACTCAACAACAGAGATGACGTACACCCCAAATACAGAGGGACACCTAGTCTCGGAGGATGAGATGGCTGTAGAAGAATCACAATCAAAAGCAGATTCACTTAGAGCTATGCTCAAATACCAATTAGAGTACTATTTTTCAAGGTAAGCGTTCCTGATTTCAACTTCAACAGTGTGTTTGGAGTTTCCTTGTCGCTCTTATGTGACTGCTGCAACAGAAAGGGGGCTTATTTTATAACCAGTCTTTAGTGTCTTCCTCGGTTTTTTAACATCTTTGTTCTGTGATTTTAAGACAAGTTTTTATGCTGTTCATGCTCAGTTCATTAGCTCCATGTCATCAAAAATGAGAGGTGATTGTCTGCCGTCGTTCGTCTGCTGTCGGCCAACAATTCTATTTTATACTTTTTAAACAACCAGCAATTGGTTGACCTCCATGAGATTTCTAACAAGATAACAATTGTAATTGTCGTGGCAACAACCAAATAAACTACCATGGTTGTGATATGGCAAGAACATTGTGGAAACATAATAACCATGGCAAATAGTTAATCTTATCGTACGGACATTATCAACTTTGTTTTCGGGAAGACTCTTCAAAGACAGCATTTGATCATGAATACATCGCAGTGTTCCATCTGAGCCTCACTTGCACCCAGCTTGCTCAGTGACATCTCCATGCTGTGCAGTAAAATTTTGTTTGCGCAACTTGGTTGTGCATTAACAATATACTTGTAGGTTTACTCTATATATTCTTAAATTGCAGAGAAAACTTAGCCAGCGATACATATCTACGGTCACAAATGGACGCTGACCAGTATGTACCAATATGGACCATAGCCAATTTTAATGCTGTTAAGAGACTATCTAGTGACATGAAACTAATTGTGGAAGTTCTCAGAGGTAAGCACTATACTAACTTGATTCTGTGTAAACCCATACCCTTTATAAACATTATTGCAGTCGCAACCAATCCTTGTAAACTAGAAGCTGTCGAAGGCATTTGTCTTTCTATAGTCTTATTTTGTATGGAAATCTCTGCACCAAAGAGTAAATTGAACAACTTTCTATGTTCCTTTGGTGCTTGTTATAGACATGTTCAAAAAGTTTTTCTCTCAAAATTGCTGAATTATTTTTGAATTTTCATGTTGCCAATAAGAGAATACATCTTAGTCCGATTATGTAACTGGTAAACTGCTTACAGTGGGTGCAAATGAGATTCGTACAGAGAACTTTGTAGCTTCCTTGGAAAAGTCATTATCAATGTTCCCTCAGTTGGTTGAAGCGACCTCAAATAAGGTTCATATGGATAATTCATAACTTCATTTGTATCGTCAGTACTGTTGCAGTATGAAAACGTATAATAACTGACAAATTAAGTATCAAGTGGCGCCAGGGGAAGAAAGATAGATTGTCGTAAAATGTAGAAAATTGTATTCATAACATTAGATCATTTGATAGCGCCGATATTAAGTCCCTCACAATATTACAATGTTTGCTACCTCTCTATGGATCTTGTTTGCGCCCTCAGTAATATTCACTGCATGGACTTTTGTAATTGATTTTTATGGCATTAAAGAAGGCAAAATATTTTTAATTTTACTGGCACTCATAAGCTAAGTGAAACTTTCAATTTCATGATTTTCACTGACCTGCAAAATTCATAATTTTTCTCTTGCAAAATCAAAAGAGTTTACAGAATTAATACCCTGTAATATAGTTTGATTGTAGATGAGCCGACTATGGCCTAATTCCTCACCTTATTGCTTGCATGGATACATGCATACTCTGATTACTCATGTCTGTTTCCATGTGTTATATAGTTTGATTGTAGATGAGCCGACTATGGCCTAATTCTTCACCTATTGCTTGCATGGATACATGCATACTCTGATTGCTCATGTCTGTTTCCATGTGTTATATAGTTTGATTGTAGATGAGCCGACTATGGCCTAATTCTTCACCTATTGCTTGCATGGATACATGCATACTCTGATTACTCATGTCTGTTTCCATGTGTTATATAGTTTGATTGTAGATGAGCCGACTATGGCCTAATTCCTCACCTATTGCTTGCATGGATACATGCATACTCTGATTGCTCATGTCTAATTCCATGTGTTATATTGGTACAAATGTATTCCTAACTGTATTTTCATTGTATATTTTAGAGTCGCCGTATTTACAAGTAGATGACAGAGCAGAGAAAGTTCGGCCAATTACAAAGAGATGTATAGTTATGTTGCGCGAAATTCCTGACTCAACTCCTATTGAGGTAAACATTCACTGTTAAAAATCAAACTTTATAAAACTATGTATATTGTATGCGTTGTCCCCATTACATCTGGGTGCTCTCTGGATTTTATTTGTTAGTAAATGTAATATCCGAGAACAGAAAACAGTAAATGGCAGTCTTTTCCTACATACAATTTTTACTAATTCATTGTAAGATTTGTAGTGAATTTTGAAAATTTGTTTAGTACATTTATTGATGACTAGAGCGTAGCGTAGTGTATGTGAACCATATTGAACAGGTCACTGTTGGTGTTACCTCAAGTGGTATATACCATATACTGCACTGCATGTCAATCAGATTTAACAGTGATTATGCGGTTTTCATCTTTCGATTGACGCGTTCACTCAATGACACAATATGAAGTGATGAGACTACCAGATTTTAAAACTGGTAGCCCAGCAGGCTTCCAATTTGATTCCCCAAGTCTGTTGAATAGCCTTAATAGGAGGTGAAAATTTGGATATGATTGGACTCTGTTGAATTCTATGTATAATTTTTTTTAATTTTGTAGGAAGTTAAAGCATTATTCTCAGGTGAGAAATGTCCCACGTTTACTGGATGTGAATTTGCTCACAATACAAACTGGTATATTACATTTGAATCGGAAGCTGATGCCCAGAATGCATACAAGTACCTCAGAGAAGAAGTACAGACTTTCAGAGGAAAACCAATTATGGTAAGTATTGCTTTAATCATTGCAGGGGCAAGTGCATGCTCTAATGAGATGAAATATGAAATTTTTGCACTTCAGTTAAATTTCAACATGCTGCCAGATTCTTTTCATATGCATCAATGGGAGTCTCTTGTATTTGATTTTCAGAAGTTATAGCCACTATTTTATTGCAAAAAAAATAACCTTATTATACATTATTTTCACTTTATTGCAGGCTAGAATAAAGGCTAAACCTCTACAGAGTGTCTCGTCAAAACCACCCAATGGTTTCAGGCAGCCAACAACACCAACACCCCCACCACCTACGACAAATATTTTTCCACAACAACACTTTCAGTATAGTCCAGTTTCACCAATGATGAATGGTGCTCCACAACAACCATTTGCCTTCTATCCAAACCCTAATGTGATGCCACAGCACCCACCACCACCTCAACAATGGCCGACGAGTCCACCATATTATGAAACCTCATTGGTGAGTATGTAATCTGTGGAGGTTATAATTATGGTCAGATAAACAGCGGTTTGCTGGGAAGCATATTGAACACAAACTATGACTTTTATTTCTGCATTGTAAACAAGTGTATATAATTCATAAAAAATATGAATATAGTGACATCAACAGTGAGAACAGTATATTGCAAAACAGCACACGCAGATTATATTGTGGTAATAGTAAGTTGATGACTGTATAAAAAAAAAAAACTATAGTTGCTTTGCTGCCACACACATAAAATGTGAGGCACATGTTCTACTATTCCATAAAAAGTTTATAAATGTTTAGAAAAATATGCATGCAAGTATGAGCATAACAATCTAATTTGTGCTACATTGATATTTCTCGATAAGATATTTTAGCTGGATTACCTTTGCAAAGGAATTATTAAATTTCAGAAAATGAGGCCTTTCAGCAACCCGAAAGTTTGACAGTTTCTTGATTTACTCACTTAATGCAATGGCATGGAATTGCATAACACTTTCTTTGACTACATGGTCATAAAATCAGTTTGTGTGGTTCAAAAATAACTTCAATTCTTCACTCTCTTGTAATGCTTGTAAAAAAACTAGAAAATAGATTACTTTATCTTCATTCTAGCCACCTTTCCCAGGCAGTGGTATATCAGGTCCTCAGAATTATAAACCTAGTAATATAGCAGGACGATATGGTTACCAAGGCAGCCGAAATAGGTAAGAATAGTACTGATTTATTTGGTGGTTTAGTAAGCTCAGTTAGGACAGTCTGAAAACAGGGATTTGTGAATTGACAGGCATTTGTTCGTCAATATCCAGCCCTAATCTTGACAATGCTTGAACCGATCTTGCTTAAACTTCACAAGTCATAATGAACATGTGCACATGCAATTGTTTCATCATGCAATTCAAGATGGCTTAGTGGCAGCCATTTTAAGGCCAAAAATGCATCGAAATCACTCGTTCATCATTCCGGAACAAAATCTAGGTCATCTTGGGAGTTTTGCTGCAAACTTGGTACATACATGTACATCCAACATAAAGGGACCACGATTCATTTCATTCTATTTTCAGATTGTGTACAAAAAAGCTGTTTTTTTTTTTTTTAAATAATGCATTTCGCCATGTTTTGACCAACCAATTTCAAATTCCAAGCAAATGAAGCATCTTATCAGACAAAAGCACTTTTTTTAATACAAAAGGGGTCAATGACTTATTGATATTTGTTTTCTTTTTTGTTGTTGCCGTAAATGACTTTGCCTGTAGCCAGATAAACCCATTATAGTAAATTTGAAAGTTTCTAGCACAGCAGATGAAAGCATGGCTGCACTGTGCTGAGATAGCATTGGAAAACGTTGTACTATCTCAATTGTTTACACAGATTATAATCTTCCAATGAAAGCAAATTAATCAGTTGACTTTGTTTACAGAAATCCAAATAAAATGACGCATCAGAGGACACCAAGTACTCCAGAGACAAGGAATGTTGAACGCAATAATAACCATGAAATTATTAGATCTCCTCATGAGAGAAGTAATACTGCCAATGGTACTCAGAGTTCAAGTCCACGTTCAATACGAGAAGATCGTAGAGACTTGGACAGAGAAAATGGTGGTTACAGAACTAGAAGAGATAATACGTCACCAAAGTTAGGTCAACAAGAAATGCATCCTGGATCTCTGCAATCAAGGTAGGTGGTAAAACTTGGGTCTGATTTGGGGGTAAAGGGGTTGTGGATTTCACTTGCAATGACAAATAGAAAATCAAATGCTATTGGAAGCTATTAATATCAGATGATCAATAGGTGTTATTGTTTTGCCCTAATCTTGTTTTTACAACTTTGTTGGGGCAAATGTAAATCCGAATGTTCACAAGGGTTTGCACAGAAGCTCAAAAATGGTCAAAGGTACTTAGTCTTAGTCAAAAAGACCAACAACCCATGCTCCAGGTCCTTCCAAAACAAAAGGGGACTGTTCCCTGATATGTTGGAACAAAGCAAGATCGAATATGAGGCCATAGTAGCTGCAAATTGTACTATTTTATTTGGTTAATTAAGGCTTCATGTAACAAGTTGGTACAATAGTTTACATGATACAATGTTCTACTGGTGTGATTTGAATGATTTATTGACAACATTAAGGTCTGACCAAGATAGCTGAACTCTGATGGTGAACTGTAAGAGTCAATGACCTAGTTATGTTATCAGGTCACTCTGTCTGACTGGTCATTTACTTCTACAGTTAAGTATTATAGTAATGAACGCATTCATTACCTAATACTTGTAAATGTATATTTTCATTTAGGATTGACAATTTTGAATAAAAATAAATTGTGCTAGGACAAATTTTAAAAAGTGAAAATGACAAAAAAAATGTATTTAAAATCAAAATCAAATGCGCACATTTAGTAGGCGATTTTTTTTCCGCTCCGCTGTCGACTTTGTCAAGCAGAGCTTATCATATAAGTGGTTGTCCGGTGTCAGTCGTTGTCAGGTAGACCTCTCTTACATTTGTTCATTTCATGATGATATCTTTAATTCTCTAATTTTGGTGAATATTTTTGTAATTTTTGGTAAAAAGTGATATTTTCGATTTCTTGTTAAAAACCACTAGTCCGATTGCTTTGATATTACATATTTAGACACTACGTGTAGACCTCTCTCAGATTTGTTCATTTTGTGATGGTATCTTCAATTCTCTAATTTTGGTGAATATTTTTGGTCATTTTTGGTAGAAAGTGATATTTTCGA